ACTGCCACGACTTCTCAGATACGATGGATAGTGGCTTAGCAACTTCATCTGCCAGTTCCTTCAGGACCTGCGGATGGATCTCATGGGGTCCCATGGACTTGTGCACCTTCAGGTGCCTTAGATGGATGCCACAGTGGGCAGCTCTTCGTTCTCCCAGTCCCTGCCTTTGCCTTCTGCAGCTTGGGCGGTGAGGCTTGAGCACTTTCCCTGCAGTTAGGAGGTTTCCAATGCTTTTTTCCCCCCACATGGATTCTTCAATGTCTAACTGGGATTGATCTCCTCTTGCCTGTTTTCCCTCTAGCAGGGCACTCGGAAGTTATATGTGTTCTGTTTTCCTGGAGCTTGTAAGAACATAATTATTTTTGAGACCTCTAGCCCCTGCTAAATTTAGTTGAAGCACTTGTGTTTCAAAGTTATTGAGGAGGTGGGAGAGAAGCAGATGGAAATGCACAAGTGCATAATGTGACTGCAAGACTTTGTGTCCACAGAAAACTGGTTGAAAACATAAAATATAGTACCACTGCCCATTTTTAGATTATTATATCAAAAAAGGCATAAAATCATATTAAAAAAAAGGCAAATACAACTCTGCTGACTGTTGATGACTCCCCTTATGGAAGAAGAATTCTTCTGATCCGGGGCTGGCACACCCTGCTCGCTCACCCCCATCTTCCTGGGATCACACACAGCATGTCAGGCATTTCTTGGCAGACTACTCTGATAATCCTGAACAGCCCAACCTTTTGGACCACTGCCAGGCAAACATGTACTGAAATAGCCTCTTTCTAACCTGTTTCCAGAAATCACAAGAACATTGCAAAGCCAACCAGGGAATCTGGCTCTATGTGTTTAAGTAACCAGGTTTTGGTTGCAGTATTACCCTGAACAGCAGAACTCTACCCTGAATGCCTAGAGATATGTAACACCAATATAATCCAGACTCATTTTCATTTTGGATTCATTACTTTTTAGTTAAAAGAACTGAGACTTTTTTCTACATTTCAACATTTAATATATTATAGTACTGCACTTTAAAGTATTTGATTTAAAAATATTTTGATAGTTTATTTTTTAAAAGTGATCTCATTAAATGTCATATAATATTCAACCTAAGATAATTGGTTTTCAGTCAGTCATATGTTATCTAGACAGGTCTAGCTAAAGGAGGACTTAAGATTACCATTTTATTCTACTATATACTTTGTGCCAAGTCTTTCTATTGATGTGAACTGTTCATCGCAAAAAAAATTTTTGGTTATCTAAGAACTCATCTCCTTACTTGCACGATGTTTATGCAAGATAATAAAATAGAGGCTTTGGTAATAATTTTGTACCTGATCCCTTCAATACTGTATAATTGCTAGCGGTAATTTCAGTTGCTGCTGAAAATCTAGTTTACAAGATATGATTTGGGAATGTACAGTTAATAGCATTTAAGAGAGTGCCAGTATCTAGTAACCAATTGTTATGATTGATGCAAAAGAAAGTTAAAAGAACAATAACACTCCAAAGTTTTGATTCCAACAAGCAAACATGCAAAATTACAAAGAATCTGTATAAGTGAAATGAGAAATGGAAGCTGTTCCCTTCCTTTTTTCAAGTTTTCTTCCATTCTGTCTGTGTTTCAAATATAAAAATCAAATGATACAATATATAATTTCTCTTTTCTGTGCTGGTCCATCTTTTATTTACCATGCATTATAGTAGACAAATCATCATTTATTTTCTCATTGAACTACCATCCATAATAATAATTTAAAACTAGCTAATAAACATTATGGTTTGTTAGAATTGCTACCGATTAAATCTTAAGTGTCTAAAACGTACAAATATAAACAGAATGTAATTAGAGCTATTTAAAGAATCCATTTTTAACTTAGATTAACCATACTTTCCATTTGCTAGGGATAAACACTCATAAATGAAACCCATTGCTGAACAAGAAGCAATTACTTCAGTTTAAAATATTAATACATACTGCCTTTTAAAAAGCCGAGGAAAATCATTTATGTACTGTACAATACAATCTCAATTCATACTGAGAATGAAAATGGGATGGCATTCTGAATCGTAAGCGAGCTGCAATCATCTTTGAGGTACAGTTTGTTCTTATCCATTTATAAGTCCATTAAACTATTTTCTCCAATTAGTATTGCTCTCAAAATAATTATTATGAAATACATATACATGTTTTTTGTATTTTAAAGCTAATAAAGCCCCCCAACTTTGTCGACTAGCTCTCTTGCAACAGCCCTTCTTAGTAATACCCGAGACATGCTAGTAATGCAAACTAATTACTGATACACAGCATACTAAATCTAGACTGGATAGACTCTCGAGCTTATCCCAGATGACAGGTCTAGAAATGTACACATACATACATATACATATGTATACACACACACACATGCATGCATATACATATGCACCAGGGATAACAGGTATATGGTGGATTATAATAACTACTTGATTATGAAATACTTCTAAGTTCTACAGATTTATTATAGTTCATATTTATTATCTTTTTATATTACAGTTTAAGAAAATTATTTCCATTTTGATGCTATGATTTTCTTCTGCTTAGACTTTTACTTGGTTCTTTTTAAGCATGGTGTTATAAATTGCATTTAAAGGTGTCATTTTGAGCTGAATCATAAAAAGTCTTATTTCTTCATGCTGATGCACTGAGAAAGTATTAAGTGTTTTGCTTTCTCTGCAGCTGCACAAGACCCCTTCGCCAGAAAGGGCAAAACCATGGATCCGCTATGCTGTAAACCTGTCTTTTATTAGCAAGTGGTGGTGTGTCAAGGTTGGGGCCTTCCCTCCTTCAGCCTCAGGACAATAAAGACTGTATTTTCAATAGAGGTAAGAATAAGATTATTGGTATTTTAAACCAGATTTTTTGTTTATTCCTCCTTATAAGCTGTCACCTCATACACTACAATTTACCTGGTTACGTAGCTCTGAAGTACGCTCAAGTGTATAGAAACCGAGCATGGGAATTCCTCCCTCATCATTTACATAGTCACGATCTACTGTTTTAATACTCTTACCAATCCCTCACTCTAAGAAACCACAATTATAACTGATATAAGAAGTTTAACAAATTATTTTTCTATTCTCTTTGAAGTGGTATTTTTTTGTTTATCTTTAAGTGTATGTTAAAGGCAATTAGCAATTGAGCAAAGTGAATAATTAATTATGTGCAATTAGAGTGGAACCGTAGACAAATAGTACCATATTACCGGCAAATTTTAACAATGTGATAAATTGTGGCAATTATAGGCAAAGTAATAACGATTTTCAGTCAAACAATATAAATGAGAATGTGTTCTGTATTCACAACAATCAAAGTTCAATCTGTACGTCTGTGTTTAAACTGGCTGCAATTTATACACACGCAAGCTATTATTATGACTCTTTTGATAAAGCATGCTTATTTTCAGCTCTACTTCATATGATACATTTTTGCATACCTATTAGCTTTTCCCTCTTGGAATGCCCGAAGGGCTTTGCGGACTGTCCTCTGCTCAGTCTTCCTGAGACCTTTCAGGACATAAACTCCCTTAACTGACTGCCTCAGGTCTCTGCAGACAGTGTCTCGTACCGTGTGATGGACTGCTGAGAGGAACCTACAGCTGAAAGGAGCATTTCAGACTCTGCGGTTTATACCCTCCTGTAGTAGAGCAAGTCTCCTCTCCTTAGGTGTTTAGTCTAACGTGCCAAGGTCTATACTGCAAAAATTGAACAAATATTCCCCGCAGCCGTCTCTTCTGCATTGTCAGTAACCTTGGGTAGAAACGTGGGGCAAAGTAATGTAGTCACCAGAGCACAAAGTTTTCCCGGGACTTTGAGCAATCCTATCTAAAAAAGCCCGCCAGTTATGTGAATTTTGGATCGAAAAATGTAATCTGGTATTTGAAAGTGCAAGCAAGCATCTATGATTTCAGAAGAGCCACGCAAGGAGGCCAATACCCTCCAGCGCTAAAGTAACGCCCCAAAAGAGCTTCGGATGCAGGGCTCCGTGCCGGCGCAGGAGCGACACGCGGGGAACGGAGGAGGGATCCCAAGCGTGCGGGCACGCAGTTCTCCCCTTGCTCCACCGGGAAAACGTCTGCATTTTAACAGCCAGGGGTATGGCCGGAGCCCTGACACGGGCGAGCGGTCGGGCCCGGGCCCTCGCCCCCCTCCCCTCGCTCCCCGGTGTGCGGCCGCGGGGCAGCCGTCAAACCTGGGACCGCGCTC